TCCTGTCTCTCCACTGTCTGCCTCTGGACATCCTGGAAAATTAGGAGAAAGACGGACAGGAGAGAGAATCCCACCTCCATTCCAGCTCCCAAACATACCAGTCTTCCCACTATCGGCCTCTGGACATCCTGGACAATTAAGGAAAATAATACAGTAGAAAGAGTCCAACCCATGTCCGATCTCTCCACCCATACTTGTTGTGAACTGACGTGCTGGTGGACTCGTTACAAGATTCCAAGTGTCAAGATGCAAGGAGTCCCAGCACAGACACACCGGAAGGTTTGAGATGAGTTCAACTGTAACGAAAATGCCGGAGAACACAGGAGACGCACAAGAAGTGTATTTCCCCACAGAGCCCCGAACCGGAACAGCTTTCCAGAGGTTTTTATAGAGTCCAGCCATGTTCTTACCCTGAACGGGGACTGAAGAGTCTGCTTACAACCCAGTGGCTGTTCTTGATGATGCTGTCCCAGGCTCTCGGCTGTTTCTCTGGTGTCAAGTTCAGAATCCTCCCAGGCCAGGTCAGGAGACCAGGTCAATGACCCCCCAGACCAGAGCCCGATATCCACACCGAGCGTGCGTGACCCCCAGGTCTCGCGCCAAGCACAGCGAGAGAGCGGTACGAGGCGAACTCCCTCCCTCTGCTGCGGAAGACCGTAGACAGGACAAGGCGCAGAGAGAGGGGAACGGGTACGACCAGGCCGGAGGAGGCCGGTGCTGTACCTGTGCCCAGGGGAGGGGAGCAGCTCGTCCACGGAGACAGGTCCCTCCCTAGCCCGGGTCGGACGTGGAAGAGAAGCACCAAACTTTCCGTGTTGAACTGTTAAGGGGGGTGACCGGAGCAGGAGCCCCGTTAGCAACTTCCCGCGAGACGCGTCTGTGAGGGAGAAGAATCTTCCGAGCTGCTTTTCCCCGGGAATGAGGTCCGAGGAGACTCCTGCTAACCAAATTCCCCGTCCCTGGAGTTCACCACTCATGGCCTCCTAATAACTCCCCATCTCTGAACTGGCTTCATCACTCCGCTTCTCCTCCCCACTGAGAGCTGTGGGGAG